TATTTTAGATTTTTTATATTTAAAATGAGATTTTATCTTATATTTGATTATATTTATCTGTAATTAGTTACACGAATTCAGATATGTAGCGTTAATAAGTTGTACTTACGCATAATCTACTTGTAATCTTGAGTTTTAAGTAACATGTTTTAATAAACAATATTATATGCATAAAAAATGGTTTTTAAGAATTTTTGTCAAATGGTTTATAATATAGTATATATATATATATATATGTATATGTGTGTGTGTGTGTGAGAGAGAGAGAGAGAGAGAGAGATACATTGCTGAAAGTTACAAACTTTTTGAAGGAAAATAACGTCGACTAATTGTGAATATTTCATGTGATTTTTGATGAAAATTGTAAAAAATTCTTAAATAAACTACTTTAATAACCTTAAACTTTTTTAATTAATAAATTAACTTATATTAAATATAAATAAATTAAGAAGGAAGGTAATGTAATTAAATAATTTTTATAAATTTTATTTTATTTTAATTAATTATAATTATCCTTTTTTTTCTTGGATTGATCACGTTTGTTTCTACTATCTTCTCTTATCTTCCCTTGTGATAATTGTGTGATTGTGAAATCATAACCTATCGAAACCATGATCAATCGAGTGTAACCATAATCTATCGAAACCATGAGCAATCGTTGTGATAAATGTGTGATTGTCTAATCCTAACCGATCGAAACCATGATCAAATCAAGTGCGCAAGTGATGTTATAATAGTGATATAACATGATTACCACACCCATATCACACCAAATCGGTAATCGATTTCCTAAGTTAACCTTAGTCGAGCGCAATCCTTGTGATAATTGTGTGCTAATCACACTCAAATCACACCAAATCGTGTTGAAATAAGCGATAATCATAATAGCCCCTCAGACCACAAACCAAACCGTAATAGCGGTTTATAAAATTTTCAAACCGAGCGATTTGACATCAACTACCCAGACCGGTCAAACCAGACCACGAAAAATGGTCTGGTCTAACTGGTTTAGGCGGTTTGGGCCTTTAATGGACTTAAACATATTGAGTTTGGAATCTAAAACTTGAAGGAAACAGTTGAATTACTTGGTTGATGTCTTGATGATGTGCGTCAAGATCAAACCACAGATTAGGAAAGATTGATAGATTGATAGAGTTCTTGAGGGATTTCAAAATTTGGAGACCATCAATGTCAAATGTGTCTATATGTTATTGGTTTAATGTATTTTTATGTGTCAATTCATTTGGATTTGATTATATCAGATGTTAGACTTTATGTTGGGCTTAGAGATATATTTGGCCATAACCCGTAAGTTAAAAAAAGTTGAGCTTGCTAATACTAAATTATATATATATATATATATATGTATGTGTATATATATATATGTATTACATACATATATGTATGTGTATATATATATATGTGTGTGTGTATATATATATATGTATGTGTATATATATATGTATGTATATATATATATATATGTATATATATATGTATGTATATAGACTTGGGATAACGTGAGACCAGCTTGTTATCGTAAGACCCGTGAGACCAGCTTTTTACATTTGAAACTTCACAGCAAAATGCTGTGAAGGTAACATTCACAGTGTTTTTGCTGTGAAGGTTCGACTTTTTTAAACCTTCACAGTGTTTTTGTTGTGAAGTTTCAAGTGTAAAAATATGGTCTCACGGGTCTCACGAAAACAGTCTGGTCTCACGTGAACCCAACCCTATGT